CTTGTGTTGCTATTCTTATCTTCCTTGAATGTATGTTTACCGCTAACCTGCAACATTTGCACGTTTCAACCGATACATAATTTTTATGTGCCTTGTGTTTTGTTTCTTTTCATTGTCGCGTTGATGAAAGCTGATAGCCGAAATGTGCTTTGTTTATTGTAAATGAATAGGTAAAGCAGAAGTCTGCTTTATTATTTTTTTCCGTTTTTTATCGGTTCTTGCCTATCTTTTCTAATCTCTGTTAGACTGTAATAGTTTTACTAGTTACCTCATCCGCACTCACACATAAGTGTGTTTGTGGTGACGGCATACAGTATGGCACCATTTGACCTCGTCACATTCACTCAACACCACAAATGTATTCCATCCACTTAACACATACTACAAATATGCTCCAGGAAAGAGTTTATCTAATTCTGCCATTTTTACCTTTGTAGTGGCAATTTCTGACCTACTCGTTTTGAATAGCATTCGCTCGTATTTATAATTCAAAAGTATCATCAAAATAAAGAGTTATGAATCCAGTCATCTCCTTGTGAGATGCAATTTTTCGTTATTTGAAGCCCTACTCTGGCTCTTGCCAGGAACCGCAATATAACCAGGCCATCAATATGACCTAATGGCTGAACGCGGTTTCTGTGACCTCTCCACTGTGATCCTAATCCACATGGTGGCACATTGTGTCATCGGGTGTATATCGCTTGTGTGATGTCCTGGTGGGGTAGAAAGTCGGTCAGTCATCAAATTTTAAGCGGGCTGTAGCTTGAGTCCTGAATCAGTTTCTTCGATCTAATAAGATAACATCTGGTGATTATTACAAATGGCTGCTATTTATTGCCGTCTAGTTATGTATAGGCAGAAAACAGTCGGTGTCTACTTTAGGTAATTTTCTTTGAAACGGTAACGTTTATTAGATATCAATAGACTCATCTGTGTGAATGTTTAAGTATAGATGATTGCGTGTGTATGTACACTTGATTATACATGAATGTGAGTGAAATGTGTAAGTAAACGAATGAAACTTCAGCAGACGAAAATGCGGCTACCTGCTGACACTGTGGAGAACCTTGAGCACCACTGTGCGTGTGTGTGTGTGTGTGTGTGTGTGTGTGTGTGTGTGTGTGTGTTTAGATGTTTTTTTTTTCGTCACGGCAAGTATATACAAGTGAGTTATTTAGTAGCTTTTTGTACTAGATAGTTGCTTTGTAATAACAACTCTCTGAGGTTGATAACGATAATTATTAAGAAGAGAGCACATAACCTATGTCTATGTAACAATGGAGGTTAGTAACCGTTGCCATGCGGAGGGGAAATAACCGAGGTGGGTGTGACAATGAAGGCCAGTAATAGGGGTTATGACAGCTATGGTGGTGATGTGTGGTGATATATGGGGTGTTTGGAAAAAAAAGGGGGGGGGGGTGTGAAAATAAATGTCTGTGTCACAAAGAAAATATACTGTACTAACCGAAGACATGACGAAAGAACAAAATGGATGCCCGTATCACAATGAAATGTAGAAACGATGAGGGAAAATAACCGATATTTGTGACACAATAAAGCCTTATAATAAGAATTAAAAGAATGGCTTAATGGCATATAACTATATATTTTGACTATATCTGATACGTCCTTTTTAGGACGTAATTTTTCGTTATTTGAAGCCCCACTCTGGCTTTTGCCAGGGGCCGCAATATAGGCAGGCCATAAATATGGCCAAATGTCTGAACGCGGTTTCTGGGACCTCTCCACGGCGACCCTCATCCGCATGGTGGCACTTTGTGTCATCGGGTGTTTATCGCTTGTGTGATGTCCTGGTGGGGTAGAAAGTCATTCATTCAATGGCATATAACTGTTAAACTGTTTATATATCGATATCCCCTTGTGGGATGCAATTTTTCTTTATTTGAAGCCCCACTGGCTCTTGCCAGAGGCTGAAATATAACCCGGACTTAAATGAGTCTAATGACTGAACGTGGTTTCCTGGACCTCTTCACGGGTTATCCTCATCCACATGGTGGCACTTTGTGTCATCGGGTGTTTATCTCTTGTGTCATGTCCTAGTGGGGTAAAAATGTACTACTACTAAACTGTTCAGTCCTGATATTAGACTTTAAAAACAAAATTTTTAAAGCCCCATTCGTGTTGTCCTATGGAACCCTGCTATAACCTAACTATTGAACGGTGTTTCTGGGACTTCTCGTTATGGAGAATTCCAAAAAAAAAAAAAAAAAGAGTGTCAGCCATCAATGCAGAATTAAGCAGCTGTCGTTTAACCATCTTAGTGGCGTTAGTCACCACACACACCGGAAAACAATCAATACCATTGTAGTTGCTGTCTGGCTCAGAGCTAGAATTTCTCTGTTTGTGGAAGATTCCCTTGTTGATCGAAGTTTCCTTCCCCGCTGAGGTGTGTTGATTGTGTGTACACAGTTTAATAACCACTCCTATTTTGTGCTTGCTGCAATTGGAGAATGACAAACCTGTGGTGTGTTTCTTTTGCACATACATAGCCTATAGTAAACACATATACTCTATAGGAATGTTTGCAAGGGGCGTGGCTGAGAACAGAGACACTGGAACCTGTGAGCTTAAGATCCTCTTTACCAGTGATCGGCAAACTCTTTAGTCGAAACAGCCAAAAATCAGCAGGAGGATGATAAAAACTTTTTGAAAATCAACTTTCTTTTTAAGAACCTGCCAAGAACCTGCCAAAAACCTGCCACACTCAGGTCGCTAATGAACCGCATGCGGCTGGCAAGCCGCGATTTTCCTACCACTGTCCTATAATACAATATGTAAAATATCCGCACCCCCCCCCCCTTTCCCCCCATGTTTTGAAGTTCTCTCCTTTAGTTTATTTTTTAGATGCGTTTTTGGTGGATAGCTCTGATAATATTTAATATAAGACTGAATTACTGAAGCTTCTCCCACTCTCCTAATGTTGTCTGTGTGTCAGTGCCCTGGCAGAGAGTTACAGTGTTCGCCTCATACTCAACATTCTTGGGTTCAAATCCTAGCAAACAGCTGCTTATTTTTACGGTAACTATATTTGTTAATATCACGGGATCCCAATCTGTTAGTAGAGGGACCGGAAGGAGTCGTAAGCTCTGATAATGGGGAAACAGAATGTCCAGTTTGCTAGTTGCAGGTGTAAGAAACAGAAGTAGGGATTTACGATGAGCAGACCTTCAGGCAAACTGGAGAGCAATAAAATGAAACTGCCAATAAATACACAGAGTATGTATCATGTGTAAAGGCATTCTTCTTCTGAGCGTTAACCGGCTGTGAACTTGGGCGGAGAGGTCTGGAATTTTGTCTTGTTTCATAACTTGAATGTTGCGTGCGCATTCATGTTACATAGGTGACTTATTTATATGTTGGTTCCGTGCCTTCCAGGCATATGTACTCCAATTTCGAAGGGGGAAAACCCTACTCGTCGCCTTTTACGTCTTGCTTGTAAAGGGCGGGTGGGGGGGGGGGTCTATTTAGGCGGCTAGCCGTTCTATGGAGAGAGACCGAGCCATATGGAATAAAATCTGCTGCAATAAAGTCAATCCGTTCGACTTTTAACATTTCTTTACTCTTTCTGGTCCAGTCTTCTGTTTTTGTAGCCAGCTCTATCTCACTTATAACCTTACCTCCTTCTCTCACAAAGCTATATTGTTCAATTTCACAAGATTTAAGAAAAACTGTTGCTATATAGAGATAACTCTGGATACACATGACTAAATGAAGAGCTACCTACTATCAAAAGAGTTAGGACCCACATATTCGTTGGATAACGTTAGCACAGAACAAATCTGAGTACCACATTTATTCGGTTGAAAAGCCGCCAACCTAACCATCCGAGAACCAGTGAATAATGATACTATCTGACACTGACAGATTGTGGGAACAACACAACACCGTGTTTGTACTAGATACATCGTGAAACTGCAGATCAAGTGGTTTGACCATCTCGTTAGCATGCAGCAATACCACATACAGTCACAGGGACTACATTTCAAATGATTAGCTACAAAAGGAAGAGGACGGCTATAAAAAATGTATCGAGGCAACATTAACAGGCACTTGAGGACTTTACGGCATGACAATAGCCAGGTCAGACAGCCTGCACTGGATTGTAAATTATTCGTCCCTTCGGCGTTTATTAGCAGAAGTAGTTTATGATAATGATAATTTATTCTGTATTCCCACTGGGACTGTCCCTTAGAGACTGGTCCTCCAGTGACTCAAAGAGCTATTTTTTAAGAGCTATTTTTTAATGTCAGTTTACCAGACTAAATTTTCCGATACCCAGTTCAACAGTATCTGTGCATCCTACAGCTACATACATAACCCCGCTCTCTTGTGATAGGTGAGGGCTAGGAAAAGTAATATACTTCTAAGTCTTTTGTACTTAAAATCTCTCTCTCTCTCTCTCCCCCTCTATCTATCCATACATCCATCCATCCGTCTTATCTGTCTGTCTGTCTATCTAATCTATCTATCTATCTATCTATCTATCTATCTATCTATCTATCTATCTATCTATCTATCTATCTATCTATCTATCTATCTATCTATCTATCTATCTATCTATCTATCTATCTATCTATCTATCTATCTATCTATCTATCTATCTATCTATCTATCTATCTATCTATCTGTCTATCTGTCTGTCTGTCTGTCTGTCTGTCTGTCTGTCTGTCTGTCTGTCTGTCTGTCTGTCTGTCTGTCTGTCTGTCTGCCTGCCTGCCTGTATGTCTGTCTGTCTGTCCGTCCGTCCGTCTCCCTCCCTCCATACATCCATCTTTCCATGCATCATTTCATGCATCCGTCCACCCGTCCGTCCGTCTGTCTGTTTGATTGTCTGTCTCTCTCTCTCTCTCTCTCTCTCTCTCTCTCTCTCTCTCTCTCTCTCTCTCTCTCTCGCATTCTAACTCTTCGAACTTTATCTGCAGTAGAACATTTCTTTAAGCCCTTCACTCGCTCACAAAAAACATCTAACTATGACTTACCAAGTGGTTTCACTGTTGTCTGCTCTAACTTCCTCGTAGGCGGTATTTACAGCATCTTTATCAATTTTTGTCATTTTGATATCGTTTAACCAACTTTTTTTTTAACAAAGTTTCACTAAAGCAAAATGCACAGATGCAGTAAAATCGAATGTCCCGAAAAGTTCCCGATGCTGCGATTAACTCCCTAAAATCTCGGGACAGCTCTTCCAACTTTCTCAACTTTCCGAGAAGGTAAACACAGAGTGAATCCCGTATGAGCAAACGCCGGTTGTGCTGAAAGTGGTGGGAGGAGGTGGCTCCGATCAGCTGACCATTTTCCAGTGTGCTGGCGTGGTGTGGGTTCAGACAGACGTTGTACAAGGTGCAGAGCACAGTGCATGTCTGACAAAGCCATCGATCGAGCCATGTCGGTTGTCGCGTCGCGCTATAACTCCCTATTAGGCCACGTTCAAATGCAAATGAGCGCGGAAAGGTTAAAGGGCGGCGCTAGCTTGCGATTATTTGCGTTTTCGAGATATAGTGTGTATCCTTTCTGAGCTACAGCCTACAGTTAGCAGTGTGCATTCTATATACAGGACTGCGGGTTAAACGGATTGGTGTAACTGAGCTCTAGTTACAACTTCTTTCGAGGTTGAACAGGGATGTTTGCTCTGTTGTCCAGAAAGAGATTTTAGGTCCTATTCACGTTACCCGGCCCATCTACACACTGGCTGATTTTTCATTTCAACTCTCTCAGACTGTTCTAGGTCAGAGGGGTGAACGTTGTCTTGTCTCCAATCACATAAACGCCGATTTCTCGTGTTCTGTGTTACACGACAACACAGCTTTTAACTACCCCAGAACAACTAGAGCTGGCCCTAACCCAACCCCCTTCCCCCACCCACATCATGAGTGTAGGTCCCATGAGATACTCTTTTAGAAGAAAAAAGTACAACGTGACACCCCTCTAACCTAGACCAGACTGAGAAAGTGTGTAGATGGGTCGGGGAACGTGAAAAGGACCAGATTTGGTATTCTCTGGGTGTCTGTCGTTTAACCCCCACCTGAACCGTACAACGAGCTACCAACACCCGGTGACACAAAATGCCACCATGCGGATGAGGATCACCTGGACACAAGTCAAAGAAATCCCGCTCAGCTGTTGGGGCCCCACAACTACAACCGGGGTGGGGTTTTAAAATAACGAAAAATTGCGACCCATAATTGGTACGGGAATTTACTATTCTCTGGGTGGTCAACCGCTACCATTTATAGTGATAGCTGTCACTACTGTCTCTTTTACTATTTTTTTAGAGCGGTGTAGACAGGGAAGGCTTGAGCCTAAGGGTTTAGGGCTGCCCGGCTAGTGCTGTCGCCACAAACTGTACAGGTTAGGGTGTTTAGTTTTGCTATCGACAGAAAAACTCCATCACCTTACCGGGGGGTCGAACTCGGGTCTACCGCATGAGAGCCGTGTGTTGTAACCGCTCGGCCAGCCGCTCCTCAATTATAAGGATAATGTGCTTCAACTAACCGGGGTCAAACTTGCAGGTAGGGGCCCGAAGAGGGTGAAGAAGGGGGGGGGGGTGGGGTCGACAAAAGGAAGAAGCTACGACCAGGGCCACATGACACGACACTGCAGGCTAATATTGACAAAGGATGCTGGTACCATTTTCTCTTGACGTGGAGATTTTAGACAATTAATATGGGCTTCCAGGTTGAAGCAGCCTAAGGTTGAAATCAGGAAATGTTCTAGGAATAAAGGCGGCCAACGTAACGTTGACCACGCTAGTTGAGTACCGTCGGGCCGTATAAATTAGGCTAACGTTATGTCCACTCTTTGCTGTTTTTGTTACCAGCCCCCCCCCCCCCTTTTTTTTCCTCTTTTTTTCTTTCTATTTATCTAACTACATAGATCCTTACGTACTTAATACCCACCTATCAGTCATTCAAAATGTCTGTCTGTCTCTCTGTCCGTCTTTTATATATCTGTAGGTCTCTGTCTGTCTGTATGTTTGTCTGTCTGTCACTGTATGTTTGCCTGTCACTGTCTGTCTGCCTGTGTCTGTCACTGTCAGTCAGTATGTATGTCACTGTCTGTCTGTCTGTCTGTCTGTCTGTCTGTCTGTCTGTCTGTCTGTCTGTCTGTCTGTCTGTCTGTCTGTCTGTCTGTCTGTCTGTCTGTCTGTCTGTCTGTCTGTCTGTCTGTCTGTCTGTCTGTCTGTCTGCCTGCCTGCCTACCTACCTGTCTGTCTGTCTGTCTGTCCGTCCGTCTATTTATATATCTATCTATGTTCAGCCTCCAAACAATTTATAATTGTAGCACCCATAATGGCTATATCAGCCTATTGCCCTGTGCCTGTAAGGAATAATCCACAAGGTACAATGTCGACACACTCATCGTAAATTATCTGGCAAATACGACCCATGCATGCCCGTAAGGACCTCAAAATAACATTCGCCTGAAATAAAAGATTAATTGGAGTAACAAAAAAATGAATTAATGGACGCAGGGAAGAGGGTATTAAAGCTTATTTGAAACACATGTTACCATTTTACTAATGAATCGTCTTCATTTTTGATAAAACAATAATACCAGCATTTACCTGTAAAAATTCCCATTTTGCCGGGGGAAAATGTGTCCCCTGCGTCCTTACAAGTATGTCGTAAAAGAGACTACTTAGGAGTTTGGCGAAAGCGGATGTTTTTAGTCGGAAGGCCAAGATAGTCTAGCCTAGCTGTACACCACAACGTGCTTATCGCCCTTCTTAGGGCGAAAGCAGCAGAAGAAGAAATGGAGAAAGAAAATGTAACACCTATCGTTCAAAACATTGTCTTCTTGTGATTGATTTAAATACTGAGCATACAAACAATATATATATATATATATATATATATATATATATATATATATATATATATATATATATATATATTTGAAACAAAGGGGACACAAACAATAGATTGCACAATTTATTGTTTGGCGTGTTTCGCAGTAGCGAGTCAGATGCATACAACAGCCAGCCAGTCGTTACGATTGGTTAAAATGAAGCATATAAATTAATCCTTCTAACTGAAACATAAATATGAGTTATCATGATACAATTACGTCCTTTTCAAGACGTAATTTTTTTTATTTGAAGCCCCACTCTAGCTCTTGCCAGGGACCGCAATATAGCCCGGCCATAAATATCCAGTTTCGTCCTTTTCAGGACGAAATTTTTTGTCATTTGAAGCCCTACTCTGGCTTTTGCCAGGGGCCGCAATATAGGCAGGCCATAAATATGGCCAGATGTCTGAACGCGGTTTCTGGGACCTCTCCACGGCTATCCTCATCCGCATGGTGGCACTTTGTGTCATCGGGTGTTTATCGCTTGTGTGATGTACTCTGGCTTTTTGCCAGGGGCCGCAATATAGGCAGGCCATAAATATGGCCAGATGTCTGAACGCGGTTTCTGGGACCTCTCCACGGCTATCCTCATCCGCATGGTGGCACTTTGTGTCATCGGGTGTTTATCGCTTGTGTGATGTCCTGGTGGGGTAGAAAGTCAGTCAGACAGTCATGGTCTAATGCTGAACGCGGTTTATGGGACATCTCCACAGTGATCCTCATTCGCATGGTGGCACTTTGTGTTATCGGGTGTTTATCGCTTGTGTGATGTCCTGGTGTGGTAAAAGTACATAGATAGAGATAAAAACACAACATATTTAGATATCATAATGTATTGCCAGGTGTATTTCTTTGTATCCAATATCATTAATATTGAGAATTCTTAAATATTATATAAATCCTATACTGATATGCGGATGTGAATCACAGACAGTTAGTAAATTAATGAAAATTTACTTGGAAGCTTCAGAGATGTGGTTTTATAGACGATGATGAGAATACTCTGGACTGATTAAAAAGTGTCATGAAGACGTCTAGAAAGAAACTGACTCACGAAGAGAACTGATTGCCGACACCAGAAAGAGACAATCTACATTCTTTGGTCATGTGATGAGAAAGAGAAAACTGGATTACATCGTGACGGTAGGAAAGTTGGAGGGGAGGAGAGGCAGAGGGAGACCGAGAGAACAGATGCTGGACAGTTTGACATCTGCGCCAGCGTTGATTGAAAGTACAAGAGACATCAGGTTGGGGATAGACTACCAACGCCACACGGCATAGACTTTGAGAAGAAGAAATATTGGTTTAAATTATGTACCATAGCACCTGAAGAGTTACGATGAAATAGGCTAGGCAAGAAACTGCAATAGCTATGATTACCTAAAAGCGGATGTAGATCAAATAGTAAGCCTTTGTGCGTGGCTCATTTCTTTCACAGACAGAAAGGCTGGTAGGTCACAATGACCCTAAGAGTTACCTGAGAGTAGCGTGTTTACTGGCATGGTCCCAAGTCAATGGATAGGGACAAGGAAAAACTATGTGTGTGTGTGTGTGTGTGTGTGTGTGTGTGTGTGTGTGTGTGTGTGTGTGTGTGTGTGTAAATATATATATATATTTATTAGGGCTGTACCGAATAGGGATTTTCACTATTCGGCCGAATACGAATAGCGGGATCAAATATTCGGCCGAATACGAATACGAATAGTGAATCATCATCATCAGGCGCTTTGCCGACTGGCAAGGGACTTGCCACAATCTGCGATCTCCTGCAGAATGTATTACTTTGTGCGCTGACACACCTCCAATCCATGCAACAAAACTGTCAAGAATCTTCTCTTGTTGTCTTCCTCTATTTCTCTTTCCACAGATCTTTCCAGTGGTCACCACATGTTCCATTTTCCCTCTTCTCATCTTCTCATAACATGGCCGAAAAATAATGACTGTTTCTTTCTGATGTCTGTGAATAGTTGTCTTCGGGCTCCTGCCTTTTTCAAAACTTCTTGGTTGCTTTTTTTGGCTGTCCAAGGTATTTTAAGCATATTTTGTAAAACCACATCTCTGAGGCCTTAAGAAATTGTTTGGCCTGCCTACCGATTGTCCAGGACTCACAGCCATATGTTAAAACTGGATGCTGTACCACGCAACCGGGTCGCAGTTGCCCCCGCTACGACAGACTTAGGCAACAGCAACTATTGTGTTAATGAG